AAACTACGGGAACATCAAAAGTGGGAGCCCTCACGTAAAAAAAATAGGTCTTCCATTTCCCCAAAGATAGCTTCACACTCTTCACGAATTGGTAATGAACGCGAGGATGAAAGCAAAAGAAAGGCATCTGATTGGGCCGATGTAACGTAAATAACGCCTTAAATAAACTCACAGACACAGGCAGACCTACTCGAGCCACCCTAAAATGAAACGCCTGGAAAATCAGAACAGCACTGGGCGTTAGCTGACTATACCCAATCTTGAATTCCTCGCAGACCTTCAACAAGGTCGGATGCGGTGTAATCTGAGATGTACACGTCAAGTAACCTAAAAACACCGTATGAAATCCATCGGGTGGCGAATACAAACGGTCACCCTTCTGAGGCAACAACAACTCAACGTTACTTGGCGCTCCAGATAAACGACGAATAGAGTGCAGATGCTCTTCCGTCAACACACTATCAAAATCAACTAAGTCCAAATTAATTGACTTAATTTTCTTTTGCTTTCTCTTATCAATCTCAATATCACCTGGCGGAATATCATCTTCCTCCTCCTCTTCATCGGTCAGCTCAACTTCACTACTTGGCACAGCATAATCACTCACCAACGGGGCTTGATCAGAATCATCACTATCGCTCCCGAAATCCACGATTTGGCGTCGAGAATAACGCCCACTAGCCGCAACTCCATCTACTTGCTCACTAACGTGAATACTCGCTTCAACATCATCACTCCAAGATTCAATGATTTCTCGCCTTACGGAACCCCTAACATTCACATCATCTTCAACCAAAATTCCCTCCTCATTTCGCCCGACCCCCTCGCGCGAATCGCGGCGAAAAAGAGCCCCAGACGCTCTCCCACGCGCCGGATCTGCGCTCCCGGACGCGCCGCCACGCGCAGAAGCACCCCCACTCAGAGACGCGCGCGAACGCGCCGAAAAAGATGGCCCAGACGCGCGCGCACGCGCGGACACGTCAGACTCGCACAACGACGCGCGCGCGTCCTCACCAGATCCGTCCCCAGACGCGCGCGCGCGTCCCGCTTCCTCGACCACCAACCGACGCGCGCGTGCCACTTCCCCGACCACCAACCAACGCGCGCGTCGCAAACTCCCCAACCCTAGCAGACGCGCGCGCGCGTCCATCGGCCACCGTGCCCCGACGCGCGCGCGCCACCTTCTCCAACCGCGCCACCGGCTCCCTCGGGCTGCGCACCCTCACAAATCCGGGAGTTGGAGCCTGATCGGTCCAAGCCAACTCCTCCAGCCGAGCCACTACCTCTACTAAGCTCCACCTTGCTCCTTTCGATTCGTGATTCTACTGACGCAGATCCGATTTTACCACCGGATACTACAAGTTTCTCGCGTTCCATACCCACAGTACCAAAAGTTTTCTTGACACCTTCAACCGGATCTCGAAGTTTGATTCGCAAAGATTTCGAATTACCCGAGTTCGACATGAGAAAAATTTTTCCCCGAAGAAATAAAAAAAAAAACGGGAAGAAAAATTTTCAAGAGAAGAAAAGCACAGAAGAAGACCCAGAATTAAAAGAACATACCCATATTTATTGCAAGACGTTGAAGTTTAATACTCTCCACCGCACAAGAAGTCTACTTATATGGCCCTGGTATAATATTTAAAACCCTTAAATATATACCTCGCTGCCAAATAAAAACAATTATCCCTTATTTAAATTAAGGAATTACTTCACCACCAACGAAAATAACGCAATTAACTCTCGACACGACCCGGATCCCTCTACACAAGTCCCCGTCTCGAATCGAGAGTTGGGGGGCTTAATGATATACCTAAATGGGCCGGCCCAATGGGCCCTCAAATTCATATACCAATTAGGCCCATTACACGAAAGCCCAAGCTCCTTCAAAATAAGGCTTGGGCCCAACAAAGTAAGCCCAACCCATTCAACGATATATAAATAGAAGTTTTATTCATTTGTAAAGGTACGTTCTCATTTTTATTGATAATCGACCACAAGTTTATTCTCTCTACTTTTCTCTACGATCCGTACATCTGACTTGAGCGTCGGAGGGGTTTCCGCCGGATCAACCCCCGGCTTAGTTCACGTGTGCTCATTTTGTAGGGACCTCAGGATCATCGAGTTGAATAGCTATTGATCAGCTTTGCTCTCCCTGCTTGTTTTCTACATCATCCTAGGTGAGCTATACTTTAGCATCATCATATATATATATATATATATATATATATATATATATATATATATATATATATATATATATATATATATATATACCCTTTTTCTCATATTTGTAATTATAATTGAACCACATAATAATTAAGGGTTTATTAGGGAAAACCCCCTTGTTCATATTTTCTAATGAGGTAGATCCAATTTTTTTTCCCCTTTTTGAGATACACCCAATTTTGCCAACTTGGCAAAATATATTATATAATTTCCTTTAATACCCCTGTTTTATTATTAAACGGCATTTATTTCCTTTAATACGTGATTTGAGATTTGCTGATACGTTGCCTAAAATCACGGAATAAATTTACGTGAGATCATTGGCCGTTATATCAAATCGTGTACAATATTTTTTGAAGATTCTCTTCATTGTTCCAGCGGGTTTTATCGTCATTGAAGATTTCTGCACCGTCGTGGAAATAGGATCGATTTTTGAGCGTTTGTTGTTGGACGTTGTTAAGCGGGTATGAATGCGTTATTCGTTTTTATTTTTTGCTCAATATCCATGATTGTCGTGTACGGTGGTTAGAAATTTTTAAGAGTTGTGTTGATACTTGATTCTATTAAGTAGAACGTTTTTTAACAAAATTATTCCGTCATATATATCGTTTTTCTTGGCCGATGATGTTTGTTTGGAAGAGGATTGACAGAGTTAGAAGAGGATGGTTCACGCAGATCGGACCAGAGTTGTTTTATATGAGCTTCGTAGTTGGTTTATGCAATAATCGGAATAATTGTCCGCTTTGGTCGAGTTCATGTTTTTATCCCGATCGATAGTTGGTTTATTTGTTTATAACAGTCGATTTAAGTGTGCTGGGTAGTACATTAAAATATAGTTCGTAGTCTTTTTTAATTTAGCGTATGAATTTTGCATTTTAAGTTTATTTTTGATGATATTAATGTATTATCATTCAAATGTATTTGCAGTCTATTTAATTATTTTTTAGTATTCTGCATTTTTAATTTTGTTTCATGATTTTAGGTTTTTTCGATGGCGAATTTCGTACGGATTTTGTTGAGGTTTGGTGGGTTGATTGCTATAAAGAGGTGTTTACGATGTAATGGCTCGGTAACTTCGGTTAAGTGTTAAACCGTTGTAATACAGTAGTATACTATTATGAATACCGTATGATACTACCATTATCATTTTATTATACTATTATGAGATTATTAATGTACTAGAGCTTTTTAACTCGACATATTGGTTTGATTGTGTTATGATGTGTTTTATGTATTTTATCAAAACCCTTGATTGAAATTATGACATTATTAATGTACTATTTTATTGGTTATGTGGAATACTTTACGTTGGTGTTGTTCTCAATGTTCTTGTCATTTCAGTGGTATATTGTTTGTAACACAATTTCATATCAATATTATAACCGTAATATACTATCATAGCAGATTAATGTACTATATTGAAATTATTAATATACTATGTGGTTGAATAATACGGGATCCATAGTCTATTAACGAGATCCATAGTCGAATTAGATCAATAAGATAGTCTATTACATGATATAAGGAAAATTACCCTAATTGATTAGTATAACAAACATATTATTCAGTTTCCATATATATTATTATTTTTTCATATATATTATTATTTACCCTAATCGTTTTCATATAATAAGGAAAATTACCCTAATTGATTAGTATTTCAAACAAACATATTATTCAGTTTCCATATATATTATTATTTTTTCGAATAGTCAATTAATTAAACCCATAGTCGAATTAGATACATGGGATAGTCTATTAAAAGATATGAGACAGTCTATTAATTTTAAAAA